GAAAGATAGACGAGAGACACAGAAAAAGAGAGAGACATAGAGAGAAGAGAGACAGATAGACAAACAGACAGAGAGAGAATAGTGATGAGTGAGAGAGAGAAAGAGAAGAGAGAAATGAAGATGAAAAAATGGGTGAAAAGATATAGACAAAGAGAGAGAGAGAGAGAGAGAGAGAGAGAGAAAAAAGAGATAGACGAGAGATGAGCGAGACACAGAGAGAGATGAGCGAGAGAGATAAAGAGAAGACAGAGAGAGAGAGATGAGAGATGAGAGAGATAAAGAGAAGAAAGATGGACGAGAGACACACAGAGAGAGAGAGACAGAGATAGAGACAGACAGACAGACAGACAGACAGAGAAGAGTGATGAGTGAGAGAGAGAAAGAGAAGAGAGACAAAGACATAGAGAGAAAGAAAGAGACAGACAGACAAAGAAGAGTGATGAGTGAGAGACACAGAGAGACACAGAGATGAGGGAGAGAGTGAGCAATGTGAACACAATGGGGGAGAGAGATAAACAGATAGATAGACACATAGAAAGAAAGAGAGAGAGAGAGAAGAGTGAGAGACAGACAAACAGACACAGAGAGAGAAAGAAAGAAAGAAGAGTGATAAGTGAGAGAGAGATAAAGAGATAAAGAGATATAGAGAGAGACAGAGACAGAGAGAGAAAGAGATAGGGAGAGACATATAGAAAAATAGAGAGAAACAAGAGATGAAAGAGATATATAGAAAGAGAGCGAAAAGAGATGAACGAGAGAGAGAATAGAAAAATAGAGAGATAGGGAGAACAGAGATGAATGAGAGAGACAGAGAGAGAAAAGAGATGAGTGAGATAGAGAGAAGAAATATGAGCAAGAGAGACATAGAAAGAAGACAAATGAGAGAGATAGAGAGAAGAGAGATGAGCGAGAGAGACATAGAAAGAAGACAAATGAGAGAGATAGAGAGAAGAAAGATGAACGAAAGACACACAGACAGATAGACAAACAGACATTTGTGTCTGTAAAATGATTATTTCATTAGTATTGGTAATAATATTGAAAAATTTATTAAAATGATAAATAATTGGGATATTTTGTCTTTTATTTGTGAATTTTGATTTATTCTTAATTTATTAGTGTTATTGAAATATGATGATGTAAAAAGTATAAATAGTTTAATTGTACTTTTTAAAAATAATAAATTTATTATTAAAAATTAAATTCATCAGACTGACCTGTAACTATGCCTTTAAATTTTTGCAATGTAAAACTATCGACAAACAGCCAATAACAAGTTGCCCATTTTAGCATACCTTTCGCGTGAGGGCCCAATTATTAAAAGATGTGTTCAACCATCAAATGAAAGCCGACTACTTCTTCCATCTAAAAATAATAATCTATTTTCAGAATTTAATTTCTTTTTATAATACAATTATTACATTTTAAAAATATTAATTTTTCAAAATTACCGTTTGATAGTATATTTTTTTAGACATATCAATTGTCATAATTGTACTTTTTGTATTATTAATGTATTTAAAAAAAGGACAAAATCAGAAATTCATATTATTTTAATAATTAATTTTTTTTAAAAATTAATATTTTGAGATAATAAAAAATAAAATAAGATATTAATAATTTTGGATGGTGGGTGTACAACCTAAAAATAAAAATAAAAATAACTATTTTGTTTAGTCAAATTTTCAAGTGGAGACTAATGGTATTGTTATTAATAAAATAAAATAACTATTTTGTTAATTTTTTTATTTTCATTCGGCTACCAAATAATTTAGTAGCTAAAGGTAGGTCTTTGGCGACTAAAAGGAATTTTGTCGCCGAAAGTTAACATTTGGCGACCAAAATTTTGGTTGGCAAAAGATTAAAAATTAATTTTTTTATTT